ATCAAAAGTGTCTAGGGATCAACATATATTTTTGCAATAACTTTTCTCCTGATTGATATTAATTAAAATTTTCTTTAAGGATTCATCAAATAAAGTGTTTTCGTTTGTCACAGTAACGATAAACCAAGTCACCTTTGCATTAATAAAGAAATTTGCCATTTTCCTAATAAAGGGATTTTTGACATTTGAACCACTAACACAAAAGTTCGAAAAAAAGACTGAAATAACAGTTTTCTCTAAAATTTTATTGGGTAACTTAAACAATTAATAATCCGTATTTCTACCGCGAACACTAACAACACAAGAACATCGGTTTGGCATACTCAAAATGAGTTCATCCAAATCACGCTGTGGAATAGCCGCCCATGTTCGTTGCAACAACAAAAAAAGGTCTTCTTGCGACTGGATACCCTCCATATTCGGCAGAGCTCTTCTCTGTAGCATATCCCATGCATGCTCAATCGGGTTCAAGTCTGGCGACTGAGCAGGCCAGGGCAGGACATTGATGTTAGCTGCGGCGAGAGTCTGTCTTACAACTCTTGCGGTGTGCGGTCGTGCATTATCATGCATTAACTGAAATAAGGGACCGATTTGCACTTGTAGAGGAACGATGACGTCTGATACAATCGTCTCAGCATAAATTTGAGAGTTGAGGTTGCCTCTGATCCAAATCAACTCAGTTCTTCCGCCGATCCAAATACCCGCCCATACCATGATGGTTCCACCACTATAAGGATGGACTTCCTGGCAGGATTTTAATCGCTGTTGGCGTCCAGGGGTTCTCCAGTGTCGTATACGTCTTGTATCCGGTCTCATACCAAAACGAGACTCATCAGAAAAGCACACGAAACGCCATTGTTCTTCTGCCCAATTTCTGTGTTCAAGAGCCCATTGATATCGAATCCTACGATTGTGCATTGCTATAGGTGGTACCCGTAGCGGTCTTCGGGAATGAAGGTTCACTTCATGCAAGCGGTTTCTGACTGTTTGGTCGCTAATTAAGTTCCCTGAAGAGTGATGAAGCCTCACGGCTAACATCATGGCGGTTATTGTTGGAGCTCTTCGAGTTAAGATTTGAATGTATCGGTCTTGTCTCCGTGTGGTGCAGCGATACCGTCCTCCATGGCGCTCAGCCACGGTACCAGTGCTTCGGTATCGTGTCCAAAGTCGACTGATAACACTCTGACTTGTATTCAGAGCTAAAGCCACAGTACGTTGCCGGGAACCAGCTTCTATCATTCCCACGGCTCTGAGCATTTCTTCCCTGCTTAAATGACGTCGCCGCTCCATAATAACGTTGGTTTTAATCAGTAGTAGGGAAACAGTAGCACTAATAATGTCTTCAATGCGTTGTATGTTTTTATAGGGAAAATATTGACAGCTGATTTTCATCTTTTACTCGAATTTGATTCACAGTTCCTGATTCAAATTATGAAATGCACCAAAAAGGATCCATATAAATTTATAAAATCATAAATTTATTACAAAGCCACATCTCAATCTCAAGAAATCCGCATAAAAATGCTTGATCCCTAGACACTTTTGATGTGTGTACTTGGAACCGCGCTAGAGCAGTTGCGACCGTAGTCAAGCAGTCGCCAGGCATACACTGACTGCTCTCGCGCAGTCGCCTCCGCCCGCACTCTTTTTAACACATTGTGATGCTATTTCTTTAGTTAGTCGGGTATAAAATCAAACCAGAGTTGTAACCAGGCCATACAATTATTTATTCAGTAAGGTACGGACAACCAAATAGACAATTAGTTTAAATTTACAAGTTCTATACATTTACAAAGTTGCCGTTAATGTTAAAAGACAATGAGTCCTTAAGAGAACTCAAGACTACCCTTGTATGACTAAATATGACTAATGTTAACAACTCAATAAATGATATTCTAATTACAGTTCTGTTTCATTAATGTACTGACAAAAATAGACAATCAGTTTAAATTTGCAAATTCTATACATTTACAAAGTTGCAGTTAATGTTAAAAGACAATGAGTCCTTAAGAGAACTTAAGACTACCCTTGTATGTAAATATGACGAATGTTAACAACTCAATAAATGATATCCTAATTAGAGTTCTGTTGGAGTCTGTTCCGAGACGATAGCGAGTGGATCTGAGTTTGAAAATCTGATTAGTGCTTAATTAGTAATTTATAATATATAAACTGAGGCAGCAGCTTTTCACAAGTATTGTCCGTCTGAATTCCGGCCGTACAAACTGTCAGCCGCTGCTTCCGAGGGTTAGTAAATGTACCTGAGTTCAGATTGTAGAGTACTGTAATAAGAAAGTTGTAGGATATCTAGTGGTGTATGCTCAGCTAATTCTCTCTCCAAATCTCAGGCCACACCAGTGAGTATAGCTAATAATATCCGGACTTGTGACCTCGCCCTTGCACCAACAAATTAGCTTCTAGCTAGCCCGTAACGGTGGACCCTGAAGTGGTACAATAATAACAATTTCAATAAATAGTACTACCAACGGCCGATTCCGCAATACCAACGCATGAAATTCTCTCAAGCGATACGAAATCTCAATTTTCGCCAAAACCAACTAATTCGCCAAATCCCAATGATCAATATCGTGCATATAGATTGACTGTGGTAAAGGAAGTAAACCAATTCTCCGATTTTAATGAAATTCGCCAATGTAAAATTTATAATTTGCACGAAGGTAAATTCAAATAGTCTGAGCAACGTACGCCTTTGCGTATTTCTCGTACCAGACTTAGACTATATAATTCAAGGCAAAACAATCATATACAAAACGAACCCAATTACGGCATTTACTTTTAAATTTAGACGATAAGAAAATAGTCGAACAACAGAATGATTTTATAATTACCTTTTCGGGCCAAATATAACAATTTATGATTATATTACTGGGATATCAATCCCTCCAGCATATCCTCCGAAAGACTTGCGCAGGCTCCCTTCGAAAATATTATAGTAAAGTTATTCGGTTATTAATTCGATCTCTCTCGTAATATGAGCCAGTCCCACCAACTTCAATTCAAAAAATGTCCATGTCATCTCTCTCAATCTATCCGCGCTTGCTATTGGCCGACGGTTTGACAGTCCCGATCGTTTTTAATAACGGCAGACATAGGGATTGGCACTTATACAGCCATCGCTACCTACAATTATAAAAGATGCCCTACTGCGGTCCGATTCTGAATCAAGATTTGTGGAAAATTTATCTCACCTTATTTCAAAATACAAATATGATCAATAAAGACCCAAAGCAAAGCCAATGACTACCCAAATATGATCTAGCGATCTTTCTTGTGACCATTAAAAATTAGCGACTGTAAACTAAAGAAATACCATGATAACATCAGAAATAAGACTGGTATGATATCAAACACATAAAACCAAGCAACTTTTGTCCGAGCATTTTTATCTTATCATATATGATTTTTTTTTTTATCACCTGGCCGAATTAAAAAATATGTATTAATAAATACTAATGTCACTGTCTGTCAATTATGACTTTGACAAGTGAAAATAACAATGTTACAACATCGCGCATGCCTCTTCTCTGCTCGCATTCACTCGAGCTGTTAGAGCCATTGGTATAAAGTGCCCCAGCAGTTATCAATGGCAGCTTTTCAAACGGTTGACTCAGACTGCAAGAGCGGTCCGTGTATATTGATCACTGGTTAACTGCTCAAGTAGTCCGTATATGGCAGACCTTAGTGGCTTTCATGTGAGTTTTCTGAAAGAATAGAGAGCGACTAAATAGAAATATATGTCAAATCCACTATCGATTGCTTCCCGAGATGCACGGAATTTCCGAGATCTTTGACGGAGGATATCAAGGTAGTTAAAATCTATTCCTGCAAAAATCCTATTATATAACTAACATATGATATCCATATAAACGTGGTAGAGAAAAATCATGGACGATTCAAAAGAGCTTTCGATAAGTCAATTTGATTATATAATTTCATTTCATACATAAATCTTGAAAAATGTAGCAGAATTTATAAAATGAAGAAACAACGCGAAGAGTTTTTTAAATGGAGCTGAGTAAAGTTCTTAAAGAAATTTTATCATTCAAAGCAAGTTGTTTTCGGATACAAGCAAGACATGCCGCTTCGAGTTTCTTCTTTGAACTAGTTGAGAGTCTAGCAAATATACCGCGTAAAATTAACTTTGTATTACGAGACGTAATGAATCGGATTTCGGTTAACCTTGGTAAATTTATAATGAGAGATGGCTAAGGCCAAATATTACGATTTTCACTCATTACTTTTGTTTTGTTTTTGATTGATGGTAAATATAATTTATCATAGGTATATTTTTATTTTTTATTTAACTATTAGATGTTAAAAGCTAAAGAAAATTTTACCAGAAAAATCCACGCGGACCAAACATAATAATTTTCAATGACCACTCATTCTTTGAAATAGAATATTAAAATTTTCGATCGATCGAAACGATCAATCTCAGTAGATACATTGTCATTATTTTAGTGCTTGTATGGTTTTAATTTTATTTGCGACCAGTAATTATTCTTTTATCTTTGCAAAGTATTTATATATTATAAAAAAAGCGAGGGCCTGGTCTAAAGTTATATAACGTCAGTTAGCATCATTATTTTACCACATTTTAATTGATCGTAATTCTTTAACCGACACATTTACCATTGGTTGGGTTAAGTTAGGTTATCAATTTTGACATTGTCTAAAGAAATAGTGACTGTCAGTCCATCATCATTTTTGACGTGTTCTGTACCTTGAAAGTATTTTCTTTATACCTTTGAAAACCTTTGACAAGAAAGTAAAAGTCTATTCGTTCTTCTTTCTTATCTGACTTCGTAAAAAGTTTACTCCTTGCTTAACAAAATTATATAGGTATATTATTCTTTCTTTTGTTTCAGAATGCGCCCATGTCCAAGTAACAACCTGACCCAGTGTGAATGATATGCAACTATGAGTTCCGGACAATCTGAACTGGTGCGGTTCAGCTGTCGTGTGATGTGAGAGACAGTATGTCTAAGGGTAGACGGTGGCTGGCGATGCTGGTGGTGGTGGCGTTGGCGGGGGCGGTGCGGGGGTGGGACTGTGTGTGCGACCCGAGGGAGTGCGAGGTGCTTGAGCCCAGCGGTTGCCCGGGCCTGGGCGTGGTGGTGTGGGATCCGTGCAGGTGAGAAACATACACAAAAATATTGAGTAAGCGTGTCAACTCCGTAGAAAAAGACCAGCAAAGATCCAAGCCGGCGAGGTGAGGATGACTGGTGTAAAAGGTACAATTACTACCATAGCTGTCTTCGCATGTAGATCATCGTCATCACTTAACATGTAGTGGGGTAGTCATTTTCTCCAACTTTTTTATAAAAGATTGCTACACTGGGTAGGGAAAAGTGCTATGTGTAAGGGTAGACGGTGGCTGGCGATGCTGGTGGTAGTGGCGTTGGCGGGGGCGGTGCGGGGGTGGGACTGCGTGTGCGACCCGAGGGAGTGCGAGGTGCTTGAGCCCAGCGGTTGTCCGGGCTTAGGCGTGATGGTTTGGGATCCGTGCAGGTGAGAAACATACACAAATAATATTGAGTAAGCGTGTCAACTCCGTAGAAAAAGAGAAGCAACGACCCAAGCCGGCAAGGTGAGGATGGCTGGTGTAAAAGGTACAATTACTACATTACTACATTACCTATCTTCGCAGGTAGACCATCGTCATCACTTAACATATATTAGGGTAGTCATTTTCTCCAAGTTTTTTTTTAAAGATTGCTACACGGGGTAGGGAAAAGTGCTAAGTGTAAGGGTGGACGGAGGCTGGCGATGCTGGTGGTGGTGGCGTTAGAGGGGGCGGTTGCGGGGGTGGAACTACGTGTGCGACCCGAGAGAGTGCCAGGTGCTAGAACCTAGTGGCTGTCCGGACCTGGGTGTGGTGGTTTTGGATCCGTGCAGGTGAGAAACGCAGACAGAAAATTGAGTAAGTGCGACAACTACGTAGAAAAGGGGAAGCGACGATCCAAGCCGGAAAGGTGAGAATGACTGGCGTAAAAGGTATGAGCACCAGCTGTCTTCGCATGTGAAACATCGCCATCAGTTAACATCAAGTGGGATACAGTAATTTCCTCCATCTTTTTTATAAAAAAGTGCTACGCTAGCTAAGGAAAAAGGGTAGTGTGAGGGGGTAGACGGTGGCTGACGATGCTGATGCTGGTAGTGTTGGCGGGGCGGTGCGAAGGTGGGACTGCGTGTGCCTCCCTCGGGTTGCGAGTTGCTGGAGCCCAGAGGCTGTCTGGTTCTGGGCATGATGGATTGAAATTCGTACAGGTGGGGGATAATCTATACAAAATAGATTGACTGAGAAGAGAAAGCAATGGTGCAATCAATACCAATAATAACTACTGAGTGTTTACTTCGTTTCATCTCACATTATGTTATGTGCTAGACTGGATTGAGTGGTCCCTATCAAACTGTCTTACGTCATAGGAAGAAGTCGTTTTGAAGAAGCAATTTCCAAGCTGACGGGTTGAGGATAGCTGATATTATGGATAAAACCTCGGCAAAAGGTGCACCAGCCATCTTCGCATATGTACCATTGCCACCGTTTGAGTAGGATAGAGTCATTTTCCCAGAATTCTTTATAAAAAATGCTACCAGGAAAAAAAGGATTCAGATCAGAAAAGTGTAAATTTGTAAGCTGTGTCCCATCCGTACCAGTTATCTGTAGTTGTAATTATCAGGAGCAATGGAGTGAATTTCCAAGTATTATACAAATATACAAAATGGTTATCCGTATCTAAAGGGTGCCAACGGAGCCGTATTACTTCTCATTAAGTTACCACAAAATGACAAATTTCTAAATCAATTTTGGGTCATATACCTAATAAGAAAGATAAAAATTGTAAATAAAAAACTTTCAGGGCCGTGGTAGCATAATTAATGGTCAGTGTATTCGCCCGGATTGCGAAGGGTGCGGGTTCGAGTCCCGTCCGCTGCCTGGTCCGCGTGGATTTTTTTTTAGATTTAAACATCTAGCAATTAAATGCTTAAAAATAAATAAAATCATAAAAAACTTTCAGTTTTGAATAATTTTACTGTATATCCTGTCAAATAACAAAAAAATATTAAAATATTCAAGAAGGCCGTTTAATTACAGTTGTTCCTGATAGACATTATACCAGAAATATTATAACACGGTATACAGGTTTCAGACGTGTTTCGAACCCGCATCTTCCGCTATTCGGGCGAACGCACTAACCAATTATACTGCTAACTAATACCTAAAAAAATTGTGGGTTAGCTACAATGCACAGAGATGGCGCTGCCTTGCAGCCTAAGAAATACTAGAAGGAATTCGACACGGCCTGAGTTATTGCGTCCGCCCAGATGGCTAAATGTGAGTGTTCAAATCCCGTCTGAAATCTGGACCGGTGGATTTTTTTCTGAAATCATTTTCCCTTTTATAAATGTAACTTTTGTATTCCAGGTGCTGTAAAGTATGCGCAAGGACACTAGGGGAAGACTGCGGTGGGTTCAGAGGGACTTGCGAGCCCGGTTTAAATTGCTATGAGGGCTCTTGTTCCCCAATGACGTGAACACAAAGTGAGAACACCCTGTAATATATGTGTATAGTGTTGAATAGAAACGAAAAAAAAAACATATCCCCGACTACGTAGCCAACGAGAGGACCAGACCCGGCAAAAATTTAGAATTTAAAACAGTGAAGTTATACTTGTATTTATTATAGCGACAATAATTTAGTAGACCATTGATACGGATTGGATTTTAGCACAGTCACAATGGCCTTGTCTTACAAAAAGAGAATCAGAATATCCTGATGTTTTTTTTTTAATTTAATTTCAACACAGTACTTACATGCAACAACAATATGACAATTTCCGAAAAACTAAAGTTTTTTTATGTATTAAAAGTAGGCCTGAATTTTAAGGAAATAATAAATCATGGTGTCCAATTTAAACTTTTACATTTTGTATATTAAAAAAAATAACTCGTTTTAATTGTTTATCAAGAAAACTTATGTATATTTGTTGTTATTTTTTTTTATTTGATATTATTCTGGTTTTAGAATTATTATGTCCGTTGAATGTATATTATTATTTTTTCAAAATAAATATGAGCTTAATTTACAACGAAATTCTTTTCAAAAATAATTATATTTACAACATACATTGTTCTTTATTGTTTTACACATTTTATAACATTGTAAAGCAGCAACTTCAATTTGTAAAGTAATTTTAAGAGTAGGTACTTTAAGTTTAATGTATTGGAAAACAACAAAACTCATAGAAACCCCGTGAAGACGACCTTGACATCCTTACACCACATCTGAGATGGAATTAATTAAGCCTTAAGCCAGCAACATAGATAACCTAATAAATGTTACAATCATTAAAAATGTTAGCATAGTAGGTATAATTTTTTTCAACATGGGACTATTTAAAAAATTGTTACCTACTAATTTATTGACTTCCACGGGTCAATATGATATCTTAAGCCCTACGTTATAATACATTTTTTTATTTATGTAACAAGATAATAATTTTTAAAATACGTACAACAAAAAATGTAAAAGTGTGTTGTGATAATTATGGGCGAGGGAGGCCACAACACTGCGTAGCGGCGAAGCATCGTAAAAGTAGAAATCTACGATGACGTACAACGCATCGCGGATTTTTCTGATGCGCTGCCGGCCGTTGCGTCAAGTTGCGATAATTTCTTTTTGCATTGCGTCTTCGCATCGTATTGCGGTGCATCGTCGTTTTTACGATGCGACGGCGCAATTCAATTGAAATAATATATTTCAGAACTAGTTTCCTTAGTGTTGGTTACATTTGAAATACTTATAATGTATTGTTGTGGCCACGCTCTATTATGTGGCATTGTGCCATGCATACAAAGGCTTTTGTCGTTAAAAAAACGTTGTATTTCAATCGATTAATCAGCTGTATGCTGCTGATTGCCTATGTATGTAAAATACCTATATTTTTGCTGAAAACAGTTTATAAACTTGTTCTTAAAAATTAAATTATTATGAACTAAGAAGTCGATCCTTGTTGAATAAAATTTGAAAATTATTTACAACTTGTGAAACATTTAGTTCCTGTATTTAATTTTTTTTTATTTCTATATTTTATACTGCATTATATATTTCATAATATGTTTTACTTTCTCAAATCTTACAATAATACTATATTTCATGAAAAATATCGAATGATTGTCTTAAATGAAATTAAATAATGTCAAAGTGACGAATTCACAAATTAAACATATTTCAGTGATTCCATATAAATGTCGCCATTTTATATCGCTTGATAGGGAAACGTATCAAATTATAATGATTTTTATTATTTTTACTCGATACGTATGCCTTTTGAGCACATAAATACTGTAGTACAGAGATACATAAACAGAAATTGAACTATTCCGTATCAAGCACGGAAAAGATAAAAAACAGACTTCATAACAAAAATTAAGAATAATTCTTATCCATTATTCCAGCCTTACTGTTACATTTAATAGTTCACGGAAATCCAGATTTATTTATGTTTGTTCATTTATTTTGGTAATTTCCAGAATATACACCCGTATTTACGCTGTAACGCAAATTCCGCGAATTTGTGCATGCATCTTTTATTCAAAACGATAAAACGTAACGTAACCTAAAAAAATGTTCCATTCGGCTTTTTAATCCCTGAATGAAATTCAAATAATAAATTCATTCTAAAATGAAAATAATTCATATGAAACGAATGACATGAAAATTTTATGAACAAAAGCGATCGAGAAGATCCTTTACGAATACAAGTTCCAGTTTATTATTTAAATGAATGCTTGATATTTCGAATGCTACAAAAGTTGTATTATTACTTCCGATTCTAAGAAAAACATTATCAAACTTGACATTTTCTTTGAAATTATTCAAGTCTGAATAAATTTGTGGTTATAATATCCCTTCTGTTTGCAGGAAAATGAATCATTTTGTAAAAAAAAAGTATTATTTTCACAATATTGTAAAGTTTCGTTTGTTTTCTGAGAGAAAAGAATTAGAATTAAGATGGACAAAATAAACTGAAAAATAGCAGGGTTAGTCAGCACTCGACCAAGGCGTTCTATCGTTTTTTTTTTCTTTTTAGGGAAACCTGAAACTATATAATATTACAGTTTAAAAATAAGCAATATTTTAAGATGCGTTTTCTACGCCATATCAAATGATAATCATATGTGTTTATAGCAAAATTTGTTTATTCTGTGTAATAAATCAAATGCTTCATAAACATAAAGCATACTATATAATTATCATTTCATTGTTTATTTCTTACTTTTAAACTTTGAAGTCAGCGTTCAGGTAAAGATGGGCGCTTGTCTAAGGCCACATAGTTAAAATTTACTATAGTTAATGTCACATTAAATACAAAGTAAAATTAAGTAAATGTGTATTAATTTCAACAAATGGTTATTTTTCTCGATTATTTTACATATAGTTAATTTATGAATGGATGAATCAACGCGGCCTAAGCCTCCTGATCGTCTTAACTTTATGTCTTTTGACAATTCTAATCTCCTTCATAGCTAAGCAAGATTCGATGTGACATAATCTAATCCCTTTTCTAAATATGAAATGAAAGCGATTGCGGAATAAGTTGAAGTCAAAAGGCCCCAGTCTATATTTTATATTAAGATCAATAATTTGGATTGTAAGAGGACCTAGATACATTGTAACTGTATAAAATGTAACTATACTGTATCTATCTACATTTCAGTGTGCTTCCAGGTTATCTGTAGTGATTAAGAATGAAATTATAATGTCTATTAATAATAAATGTATGTATTACTTAGGATGGAGAATTGATAACAATTCGTGAAACTTGTAAATACAACATGGTTAGCATTTTTATCTTGTGCGTATATAATAGGTAGGTGCGTATAGAACTGACACTTCTTGTTATGCTATGTGTATAATAATGCTCCATATGTAAAAAAAAATATAAAGGTACATATAAAAATGTATACATTACATGTGTATGTTCACAAGACCTGCTTATTTAGCCAAGAGTATAATTTGCTCCTTGCTCCTGTTCACTCTTTTAAAGAAATTGTAATAGTTGATTATATCATATTATATTATTTACCAAGATATATTATACCATTATAATAACGATATGTCGAATATTGGCGTGATGACTATAATTTTTATTATATAATAAAGAACGGAACACACGAACATGACAAGCTTTTAATTATACATACTACAGTTTTTTTTAACTACATAAATGCGGAAGACGCAGTTTTGAATCCTTCCAGAAATCTAGACCAAGTGATTTTTTTTCTAGCTAAATTTTAATTATTTGATTTCTATAAATCGCGCAGATTAATGCTTAAAAATCAATAAACAACAAAATACACACCGTTATACTAAGTTGTGGAATACGCACTAATTGGCCGTAACCATGACTATAAAGCGATAAATATAATTTATATTTACCTCCGAAAGTTTTATCGGATGTCCTCAATTTATGATAATACCTCACATGCCGCAATTCAAAGAAACTTGATATCTACCACTTTAACCGCAAGGCGCATATTCGCACGTCTCGCTCCGCATAATTATCCTCACACCTAACCAAATGTAACATAAGCGAACTATATTCTGTAACGAGTATCTATAAATGTAAGCTGTAAAAAATGAGTAAAACTTCAGAGCTACTTGTTAATTGTGCACATATTGAATAAATGTAAGTTGAAAGAAAGGTGTGTTTAAATTCTTCTTTAAATTGGTATATTTAATAAGATCCTGTCTGTGTCTTGCTTGGTGAAAAATTAGCAGCATACCGCGGCGAAGTTACTCAGAAGTTAACAATTTAAGTTAACCCTAAGTCCTATGTCATAAGTTTTAAAATTTCATGTCAAACATGAAACAATACACAAGCGGTGCACAGCTAGTAGTAGCTAGAGTAGTCGCACCGACTCTTGTAGCCGCTGCGAAGTGGCCACAAGAGTCGGTGCGACTTCTCCGCTCCGTGGCTCTAGGCCGCGCTCAAAGTCGCCACGCATCGCTTCGTGACTCTTGGCCGCGCTTGGAGTCGCCGCCTGTAGTATCTCCGCCGCGCCTCTCCTGGTGTGCGCTGCGCCTACATCTACGAATTACAGACGACACACTCAACAAAGTCAACAATGAAGGATTAAAATTTAGAACCTTAGAAGAGAAAAGGGTAGTCTCTGCCGTTATGACATTGCCTGGTCGTCCAAAGTTATTGCTAGCAATCTCTTATCTATTAGACAAGTCCGTCCATCCGTCCGTCCGTGGTGCTGTTTCAGCGGCCAAACCGTAAGAGATAGATATAGAGAATGTTTAAGTTATAAGTTAAGAATAGTCTGATAAGACTACAAACCGGATGTGAGTAACGTAGCACTTCCGGTTTTCGAGAAATCACGTGATTTCTATTTCAAACGAAACCACACAAAATCTCCGATGTTCTTTTTTTTGGTGAACATTTGGTTCACTGGTTTGCTAGTGGTATATATAATATGTGATACTATTTATTTATGGGCGCTCTGTGTAACGAGCTCAGTGAAA